CTGAATTCACTGTCGCCAATCGACTTTCGATAAGCGCGAAGAGGGGGAGAGAGAGAGAGAGAGAGAGAGAGAGAGAGAGAGAGAGAGAGAGAGAGAGAGAGAGAGAGAGAAAAGCGGCATCATCGATAACCACCCCCTCCTCGAAGTCACTTAAAGTTTTAGTTTTATCTCTCATGATAATGAACACTATGGAAGAAACGAAGTGNACCAACCGCTTTCTGTTCGCGACAGTGCAATTTCCTTGTTCAAGTTTTCGACGGTAGCTGAATTCACTGTCGCCAATCGACTTTCGATAAGCGCGTTTTGGCAGAGAGAGAGAGAGAGAGAGAGAGAGAGAGAGAGAGAGAGAGAGAGAGAGAGAGAGAGAGAGAACAAAGCGGCATCATCGATAACCACCCCCTCCTCGAAGTCACTTAAAGTTTTAGTTTTATCTCTCATGATAATGAACACTATGGAAGAAACGAAGTGAACGCCTTTAAATCGTTCCCGCGTGTGTTCGAACGTTCTCCGCTGTAACGTCAATTGTTTTCTTTTTTTTTTTATTTTTATTTTTTTTTTTTTTTTAATTTAATTTTATCTTCATCGTGTGGCCGCGCGGCGAATGTATAATCATGGACGTATAGAACATATAAACTGCGCGTTTGTGGCTGAAAAGATGTCTTCATGGTTGACAGAGACAACATACTTTGAACAGTAACTCTCTCTCTCTCTCTGACTATCAATGTCTGTGGTGGGATCAGGGCCTGCTGTTTCATTTCATCTACCATCACCCCTTAATCTCTTTCATTCCTCTTCACCCCCACTATTTTTCTATCCCCACCTTTCCACTACTATTCTATCAATCAGCGAGGACTTCTTTTTCCTCGCTGCTTCGCTAGATCAAAGGTGAGGCTACTGATCAACACCAGCTGTCTCAACGTTGAAGACATTTTCTTAACGTGGCGAAGGTAAGGGAACGCGCAGTTTATACGTTTCACGTCTATGTGCACACCGAAAAAATTGTATTCTTGTTTTAAGGATATCCCACTTACTTTAAGTATATTTTATACTAAAATAGGCGCCAAGTAGAGTTTCTTATTTTAAGAGGAAAATCATCTAAATAGTAATATTGATAAGAATATATATTGATTAGAATATAAAAAGCCTCTATAGAAAAACATATATATCTCACTATCGAAAAAGACTATATTCTTAAATAAAGAATATATTCTTAATTTCAGAAGAATGTCATCTAAAATCTTTAAGAAGATTTTTTAAGTATATATATATATATACACGTACATCGAAAAAATTGTATTCTTGTTTTGAAGATATCTCACTTACTTTAAGTATATTTTATACTAAAATAGGCGCCAAGAAGAGTTTCCTATTTTAAGAGGATAATCTTCTAAATATTGATAAGAATATATACTGATAAGAGAATATTGATAAGAATATATACTGATAAGAATATTGATAAGAATATATACTGATTAGAATGTAAAAAGCCTCTATAGAAAAACATATATATCTCACTATCGAAAAAGACTTAAATAAAGAATATATTCTTTATTCTTAATTTCAGAAGAATATCATCTAAAAATCTTTAAGAAGATTTTTTAAGTATAAAATCTTCTACTTACAAGAATATAATTTGTTCGGTGATATAATTCATCCACGTACGTAAGATGTTTAAAACGGCACAACAGAGCGACGAAATAATTCACGAGGATATAATGCGGCGCGTATAAAAGCTCTCTCGGTTGAATTAGAAATTAACTAATTTGTGAATACGAGAGACCGTCAATTCCCGTGTGAATGAAGAACGCGGCAAGCAACGAGATCAAGCACAGACGCGCTCTCTCTCTCTCTTTCTCTCTCTCTTTTATTATTATTGTCACTGTGCCATGATTATTAATATTACAAACATTTATCATTGTTACGTACACCTCACGAATCTGTCGGCGCGCGGCAAACTGAATGAATATCAATTGCACGAATAATAATAAATCCCGAGCAATTTAATTTCAAAGGGTTGCGCGCGTATAACGCTAACATTCGTTATTACGCGAAACATTTTCATATGACGACGAAGATTACGTTAAATTCTCGATGTCGCGATCTCTCTTTCTCTCTCTTTCGTTTTCATTTATTTATTTTTTTGTTTTTTGTTTTAATGCAATTGCTTTTGTTAATTTCTTTATATGCTCATTTTTCATATTTTCCTTTCTTTTGTTTATTATTTATGTCAGTTTAATTATCGTTCATTTTTGTTTATATCGCGCTTGAAGGTACAAAGCGCCTAATTAAATAAAGCAATATCATATTGTCTCTCTTTCTCTTTTTTTTCTCTCTCTCTCTCTCTTTCTCTTGTCTTTCTTTTCTCTTCTTTTTGATTTCTAATCGCATCTATGGCGTTTCGAGAAATCGCGATACCGCTCTCTCTCTCTCTCTCCCTCTTTCTCTTTGCTTTCGGATGAAACAAATCGAGTCATCTACTTTTTCCAGACCGACGTCTATGAAATGCATATGTACGTATCTTTTGTCCGCATCCGTTTCGCATGCGGCGGCCGATATTGTTCTGCAGCTTTCGCGATTAAAGTTTAAATTGCTCGCGAGTGAACGAATGAACGCGGCGGGTTTGACGGAGAGAACGGAGCCGCGTTCGCCAATTATACACGCAAAAGGTGGAAGTCAAATATTTGATGGACATCGTAACTTCCAGCTGAATTCGCCTCGCTGCTGTGAAAAAAAAAAAAAAAAAAAAAAAAAGCCCATCGTCATTTTCCCCGACGTTTGCGTGCGTCGCGAATTACTGGTCGGAGAAATCGGAATTCCATCACGGAAATAGACGCGCGCCACACGTTGAAATAATAGTTTCTGCTATTCGCCATTTTTTCGGCAAAATCAAGAGTTATAACAATTAGCCTGTGCGTGTGCGATTTTCACTTTAGTTTCTCCGACTTTTTATAATGAATAAATTTATATTTAATAAATTTGAAGAGAAAGAGAGTCCAATTATTAATTAATCAAAAAATGTTATGTTTTGGCTTTAGTTTTTAGTATTTTTCGTATATTTCTATAGCGAATTTATATATACCCCGTGTACGTAGAGAGATGTTTTATCTCAAAATCCGTTTTCCCGGTGAAAAATTATTACATTTTTTACAAATATGTTTTTATAAATAATATTTTTTTCTTTTAAGAGAAACGCAACAATTATTTTAATATAACGCAACTACTTACCACGTTGACGCTTTTGCAATAAATGTATGCGAAATTTTTATTTTCTTCCCGCGGCTCTGATGAGTATTTTACATTGTGTGCAATATCAAACAAAGAAAGATTTATGACCCGATGACGTACGGCCGAACTATTTTGGACGAATCAATAATCTTTCCCGGAAAACTCGATTTGAGAACTCTGCTCTGTGTGTCTTGAAATCGATTCATTCTCGTTCTCGTTAGCGCGTCGTCAAGCAACGGAGAGACGTCGATTATAATGGGATATCGGTTTAAGGGAAAGTACGTCGCCAAGGCGCGTCGAACTTCTTTCATTAAACTTGCTGTTCGGGAGGTGCGAGCATAGCGTACGCCGCGATTACGTAAAACCGTCTTTAAAGAAAAAGGAAGAATAACTTCGGGGTTCCCAATATCTCTCGATTCACATCCTGACTAAACAGTCGGGATTGTAAAATGTTGTAAATCACTCCCCGAGACACCGGAACAAGTTTTCTCTTCATTATTCAGAAATGAGAGAAAGAAACTTTATTTCTCACTTTTTAAACATTCTCGTACAACTGCGTTATTTAAACAAAAAAAAAAAACGCTTGACATTGCGATAAAACACAATTCGAACGTTCAGCACAGACGACATTTGATGAAAAAGCACACATTTACAAATTTTCTAAAGAAATTTACGTCTTTTGCAAAATGTTTCAGATCTTAAAATAGCGCAATCTGAAAAATGCGGCGGCGCTCGACAATTGTTGATAAAATGGCAATCCCGAACAAGGTATTTCACTTCGCCGCTTTTCGTCCGCGCTTTTTAGGATCGCTCCTGTTTCCGAAGTTCGATCAAGATTTTTTTTTCGCACGCCCATCCAGAATCGATCAGCGAGACTCCCGCGGTTGCGAGTTTTACAGCGCGGTCTATTAGCATATAATCGCGGCGGTGCCTACATTTTAGGGAATCCGTCTCTCGAATATCGTCGAGCTGCGCGCAGCTCGACGATTATTTTTCCGAACGACCATATTCGTCGGAAAAAATGTCGTCGTGACGACGATTTTTCCGAAGATGTTTCCGCGCGCTGCGGAACGTCTTACGTTCGCGGATATCAATTTTACGGTGGCATTTCGACGCGCTAGACAAATATCGGGGGTTTAAGGTACCGAGCGCGAAAACAATATCGACGGCGCACGTCCGGAAGGAGCGAACAAGATTCATGGGAACCGGGAAAGTGGCCAGAGAAAAAGGAGAGCGCGCGACGAAACGACGTGTGTGTTATGTGTGTGTGTGTGTGTGTGTTTTACGTCGAGAGATAGAAGTGTCTTTTGCTGAGCGAAGACGCGATCAGAGCGAATTTCGCAAAACTGACCGTTTTGCTTCGCGAGCTACATAATTCGATCCGATGGTAGAGAAAATATCGTCGATGATGAAAAGAGAATCGTTCTATGCGGTTAAATAAATTAATTTAACAATTGTATTGGGATTATATTCGCGTGTGCGATAGGTAAATATAAATTGGAAAATATATATAAACGGGTGTGAATTAATAAACCTATTAAAATTTCGAAATTAAACATCGGAGGATTAAACCAATAATTACATATCTATACGTATGAATAGATATGTTTGTTTTAAATCTTAAATATTACGTTATATAAATAAAACACATTCACAAGTTGCAAAATTTCATGTGTATCTGCGAAGCATCTTCTTATTATCTGAAAAAAAAAAAAAAATAAAACAGTTTGTGATGAGACTTTTGAATTTTTTTTGTCAATTTTCGTGTGTTACAGATACAATGAGGTAGTAGGATCCACGAAGCACCTGCTGAGAGGAGGCGGTTTCCGATAACCGGCGGGCGACATGTCATTTCTGTCGAGTCGCAGCAGCCGGAAAGGGCCTATCGCCTGTGTGGTAGGCCTTTTCCTCGTCTTCGCTCTTTATCAGCTAGGCATTATTTGCAGCTCCACCAAGAATGTGCCCACGGCTGTCATGGTCGGCAAGGAGGTGGGGAAATTTGTAATGTACCAGTTTCTCGTTAGAAATCGTGCAAAATTGTAAAGTCTCTCGTGTGTTAAAATTGCAAGTCGATAAATCACGTGTATCTAAATTTCGACTCTTGATTTTTTCAAAAAAAAATAACGCTATTTCTTGTTTATTCGCGATATATTTTTGTACAGATCCTTGTTTACGCCGGACATCGTTTCGAGATGCGAATACTGTGTTTTTATATTTATTAAAAAATTATTTAATAATTATTAATATTATATTAATATTAATATTATTAATAAGTATTAATTATTTAAACATGATTTTTTTTTATATTTATTAATCAGTTGCGCTGTCTGATATTATAGTCTGCTTAATTTAGTCAATGTGATAACAAGTTTACGTGGATGTGACGAACACCGGACGAGTATTTGTTTTTATCGATTAATCGATAAGACACGCGCGTTTTTCTGAAGAGAAATATTTAAACAACATGTCTATATATTTTTCAAAAAACACGCGACACATTTCCGAAAGAAATCATTCGATCCGCAAAACGATGAATTTTAATTATCTGCCCGCGAGCTTTGTTTTACATTTCGCTCCTCCTTGCGTGATAATAACAATAATTATTATAATCGGAATAATAATAGCGACAACATAATACGTGCGCGATGCATTATCGCGACGGAGTGTCTGCATTATTAATCGGCAATTAATGGCTGTCAAAGTATTAATTGCGCCGGGTTGTTAAGAGCTCTGTTTCGCTCGATAGCCACGCAAATATCGAATTCTCATTCGGATGAGTTCACTGATTGAACGGTGCGTTTGTTTGTTTTTCTTTTTTTTTTGTTTTTTTTGTTTTTTGCTTTTTGCTTTTTGTTTCCTTTTTTTGTTTTTTGACAATGAAAAGGTGTATTGATCTCGCGACGACACTCGAATGTTCAATGTTTGATTATTAATTTTCTTCCAAATGCAAATTAATCTCGAAAACAAAATAATCTAATAAATAATCTTCCGCGATAAATTTAGTTCTGAGAGCTTTTCGTGCATTTTTGTGTACTTTAATGAAAAATGTGATGCGTTGGTTTATTTCAAATATCGCTTGACATTTTCATCATCGTGTGAGATATGTATATGTATATATATATATATATATCTCCGTAAATATAAAAAATTTACACGTCTCTTTGCGTCGCAACCAAGTAACACGACGAATGCGACGGCAAGACGGTGATTAACTATTTATCTGTCGTCGCGTTTCCGTAGCGGTTGCCGGACACGAGGAAAAGAAACTATTACGTTGTGTGCAACGTTGAACTGCAACGTCAGACCAGTGTAATAACGGACGTACGACAACAATTGTAACTCGTAAAGCTTCGTCTTGGGTCTTAATCAACGCCCAAACTCCGCTGCTATTGCTACTGCCGGCAGTCCGTTAAACGGAAAAGGATGCTTGGCGTTCCCACGAAGAATAGTTTGACAAACTTGTGTTGCCATCGACGAAGTCGATACACCGAGTCCTGTCTAAACTTTTCGAGCCAACTGCCACGTCTCTTCCCCGATCTTCTTCTTCCTCGACCCGCCGGTTTCGCGTCGCGCTTTTATTAATTTTCTTGCGGACTTACTTTAATTGCGTTAAGGTAGTTACGACTAAAATACCGGAACGAACGACGAGTTAGACTTTATGTTCCACTCATTTATGAGCGTAACTTGCTAAAGTATTTCTAAGCCCCCTACTCACTCTTGTTACCCATTATCCGTCGAATAACCCCTAGTGTAGGTTACGAACTGTCCGTCATAAAGTTAAAATGAGATTTTTGCTTGTAAATTTGTCTGCTTAATTAAGACACTATGAAATTTTCCGCTCGCGAAAATGCAAATAAACTACGGTTCTTGAGTTTTCGTGATTTTTGATGAAAATTTAAAATTTAGTTTTGGAATTTTGTAATTTCGAACAATTTTAGCGTGGTCTTTGACCGCGAACGAGCTATGGTATCACGTATAGCGTGACCCCAGATACCTTCGGTTTCTTTAAAAGAATGGCAAACATGATGGAGGACCGATAAATAGATTTTACCGCTCGCTGGAGTGTCATAAAAGCGTCGGTTGAGCGACAGACGCGGAGTGGAGGAAATAACGACACGGTCAATCTCGCGGACAAAATTTAGGGACACTTCATGACGAAGTTACAATTGACAGTCGTGTTCTTTTTTTTTATTACAAGAGGCCGCGTGTAATTTGTTTTTTTCTTTACTTTCATATTGTATTGCGATATAATTTGTTAACTATTTTTTTTTTATATATATATATATTGTATATCAATGTGCAGAAATACGTCATCGGGCCGTTTGATCACAAAAAGTATACGTACGACCGTTCCATGCCGCTTATTTTCATCGGTGGCGTACCACGATCGGGTACAACTCTGATGCGTGCCATGTTGGACGCGCACCCTGATGTAAGGTGAGAATATTGTGGTTCCTACCCAGCGATAGCAATGTAATAGAAAAAATTAGATTAGTTTTATCATAGTTTTCTTAAGACAGTAAAATTACAAAAGGAACACGTATGCGTGTGTGTGTGTTTTTTTTTGTTTTTACAACACATAACTAGAAAAGAGACGTCTCGATATCTAAAACCTTGGTAGAATTAAGTTTTACCTCTACATTGAGAAAACATATCCACAACCCGAACGCAAATATCCATTTATATAATTAATACGTAATAATTTATATAATAATTTATAAAATGTACTGTAAGATACGTACAATTTTATTTTTTTACAGATTGATCACAAAAAATTCAATCAATCGCTCGTGAAATAGTCAAAAATATTTAAACCAAAGGCCGATACGAGCATAAAATTACAGGATGGTCGTGTATAATAATTTGTCTTTATTNAAAAATTCTAGACGTTTCGGTCACACAATTTTGGACCTTCTTCAGTAGTACATAATTAAGTTTAATTGAGAAGTAACATTGTAGTACACAACATCACTAACAAATAGATGTCAAATTTATACAATAATATACACATTATATTATTATACAGTACACATTATATTATTATGCAGTACACATTATATTATTGTATAAATTTGACATCTATTTGTTAGTGATGTTGTGTACTACAATGTTACTTCTCAATTAAACTTAATTATGTACTACTGAAGAAGGTCCAAAATTGTGTGACCGAAACGTCTAGAATTTTTCAATAAAGACAAATTATTATACACGACCATCCTGTAATTTTATGCTCGTATCGGCCTTTGGTTTAAATATTTTTGATCACAAAAAAATAAGACGAATTTTAGCGAAAGTTTATGGCGCTGTGTGGATAACCGATTGAATTATTATCATTCAAGGTGCGGACAGGAGACTAGAGTCATACCGCGGATTCTCCAGATGAAGATGCATTGGTCCAAGTCTGAGAAGGAGAACGTACGGCTCACCGAGGCGGGAATCTCAAAAGAAGTAAGTGTTCCGGAATATGTGAGCCCCCCTCGGGGGAAAGTAACGCGAGTTACGAGCGGGTGCAAAAGTAGGTATATTTCAACACCAAGACAGTTTCAAATAACTTAAGCATCATCTCGCGAAAAATTCTCGAGTGGCAAAAAGTTCTCGGCGTTTTCCGTATTTATCGAGAGCGATACTTTTCTGTACTTTATTTTTTTTTCTTTTTTTCTTTTTTTTTTTTTGAAAAATGTCAGGCGTGCTACACGGAAAAACTTTTCTCCGCAATACACGACGCATTTATTCAAATACGCCCCGGCGTTTAAATCGACGCTCTTCCGTCCTCGACGGAGTAAGTAAAAGTAAAAAAAAGATACATGTACGTGTGTGTGTGTGTGTGTGTACTTACACAGCTTGAATATTTTGCATTAAGCAAAATTTGTATGAAGTTTTGCTTCCGCGCGGAATCATAAGTTGGACGTGTTAACTCAGAAGCTGGTACGTGTAAGACGCCGACAGTAACTTCTCAAAAGACTCACTTCGTCTCTAAGATTTAACGAACATTAAAATTTACACACGCGCACGCTATCTGAAACTTTTGAAATATATATATATATATATATATATCTCTCGAATAAGTTAAAACGGAAAACGTGGTAAGAAACATAGCAGTTCTGAATTCTCGAGATCCTCGAGAACTCGAATATCAAAAGAGAGTACGTTTCTTTTTTTTTTTTTTCTCCCGTTTTAGGTAATAGACAGCGCGATAGCGGCGTTCTGCTTGGAGATAATAGCGCGACACGCCGAGCCCGCGCCGAGATTGTGCAACAAGGATCCACTCACTCTGAAGATGGGCTCATACATCCTCGAACTTTTTCCGAACGCCAAATTTATATTCATGGTACGCGACGGACGCGCCACGGTGCATTCCATCATCTCCAGGAAGGTATGAGAGAACCTTGCGCGCGCGCGTTATTCTTTCGAAAAATATATATATATTATTGAATTGCGTCGTATAAAAAGAGTTTTATCGTTTCTATTTCGAACAACATTACTCGACGCGTCGCGTTCTGTTTTTGACAGATTGCAAAATCCGTTTTTATCGTATAAAAGCGCATTTCTGCTGTATAATATTTTATATCTTGTTTTTGTGTGTGTTCTGTATCTGTTTTTTTTTTTCAATTGTGCGGATAATTTCGATGATACGCAAAATAAAAAAAAAACTAATTTAATTCGATACAAGTTAGAACTTTAGCGATACGTTTTTTTGTTTTTTTTTTTCCCCTCCGCAGGTTACCATAACGGGGTTCGATTTATCATCTTACCGACAGTCTTTGATAAGATGGAATCACGCAATTTCCGTAATGTACGGCCAGTGTAAGGAGCTGGGTCCGGAGAGATGTTTGATAGTTCCTTACGAGCAGCTGGTGCTGCATCCGCGCCAATGGATGAAGAAGATATTAAATTATTTGGACGTACCGTGGAACGAGTCTGTTATGCATCACGAGGAATATATTAACAAACCCGGCGGAGTGCCCCTTAGCAAGTAAGCACAAAAAAGAAAATAGAGGAAACGGCGCGCACATCTAAATTAATTTATCCGCACACACGAGATATATTTCCTCCGAATTAGAGAATGTATATAATTTGTTTTGCGCACGAGTTAAAACAATACATGATGTGTGTGTACACACACGTTGCTTATTATTGCCAAAGTAATTTTCTGCATAATTTAATGCAGAAATAATGAATGTAACGGAATAAAACAATGCCTCTCTCACGTATAATTAATGTTAAGGTAATATAATATATAACTTTAGATAAAATATAATAATACTTCATTAATAATGTAATATATAGCGCGAAATGCTAATATACTATATGGCAAAAAATAAAATGTAATTAATATAGCACTGATGTTGCTGTATTAATTATGACGTTGAAATTATGTTTTTTTTTTTTTTTTTTTATTTTTTACGACAGAGTCGAGAGATCATCGGATCAAATCATAAAGCCTGTAAATCTAGCGGCTCTGACTAAGTGGGTTGGTAACATTCCCGAGGACGTGGTGAGAGAGATGGCAGATATCGCACCGATGCTCTCTGTGCTTGGCTACGATCCTTACGCGAATCCACCCGTCTACGGCGCTCCGGATAGTTTAGTTAGCGACAACACCAAACGGTATATATACATATATATATATATTTGTCACGCCATATGGTCGTTACGGCTGTTACATATACAAAACAGCTCGCAAACAAATGATATTTAAGCAACAGTGAGTCTAGGCTCAACTTGATATAAAAAATAGTGTAAAAATGTAACATAATATTGATACGATAACTCGAAGATTTTTATTTTAGGTACATGTTTTTTTATGATTTTGAAAAGATCAAAGGATTTTTTCAATAATTATTTGAAAAAATATTTTTTTTTCCTCTTGTTTTTCGATTTATTTTTATCTAACGTTTGTTCTTTCTTGCAGGGTGTTGGCGGGCGAAAAACTGTGGGAAGAGAAGGCGCGACAATATAACTTAGCGCATAAACCGATAGAAATCAGCAACGAGGAAGCTGCTTCTAGTACGGCCCCAGTCGCGTGACCCCGCGTGATTCTTCTAGACACGCGCGACACGTAGCCAACTACCATCCTAAGTCCGACGACCGACTTAGGATTTCCGTACGGAGTTCTCCTTCTTGTACTTTCAAAGTAAACTTGATTGTCGTAAAAACATACACACACACACACACACACGTGCATACACACGACACATCGATTAATCGCGTTTGTCGTATTTTCTCAATCAATCTTCTCTGTTATCACGTTTCGACGATGTGCGTGGACAAGGGATTAATCGATCACGCGATGTTTACTTATTCCCGATAGTCATGAAAACCTAAAAAGACTTGCGACTAGGCCGTGACTATAAAAAAAATAAAAAAAAAAAAAAAAAATACAGAATGATTCAGAAATAAGTGCCGGATTTTCACATGTGTAATATTTCAGGAATTTTTCAATAAGGATAAGTATATTGAAACAGGAATAAGTTTGGTCACTTATTTCCGAAGCATTTTTTACTAGTTTAATTAATTACATGATTACTTGTTTTTAAGTAGCAATATGTTTTCAATAGTAAAAAAACAAAAAAAAAACGTTATTCTTTAATAGGTGTGACATTGTTCAATTAACATTGTTCTGTTGTTTCTAAACATCGTCGAACACATTGCAAGTAATTAGCTTCGATTGTTATGCAAATTATTCGTTGCTTTGGCGAGAGTTTAACATGTTTGTACACTTGTAAAAAGACATAAAATAATTTTGTTTCAATTGTTGCGTTCAAGTAATTAATGTACGGATCACATTTTTGCGTTCTTGTTAGCTATATATATATTGTATAAGTCGAATCCAACAACAAGAATATTACATCTATTTCGATTTTTCTATTATTATTAAGACAACATCGACCAACAACGGCCAGTGAGTTTAGAAGAAGATGCATTTTTTAGGGTACTTAGCAACGAGAGAGATCAATTTAAAATTCAATTGTACCAAATACATTTTTTTAAATATTTTTTACGTTCGCCATATTTTTTATTTAACACATAGCTATCACTCTCCCGGCGTTTTCAGCCAATAAAAAATGACCATTGTTAGTAGATATATTTTAAAATTATAAATACATACACAAGGCATCAAAAATTAAATTAATATAAATTAGATCGGCGCAAACGATGTAGTTATGTACATCTGTTAACTAAGATAAATAATTTTTTTTTATTAGTTTAAAAAACACAATATTTGCTGTAATTAAAAACTTAGATATGTTTCTTCAAAGTGTTTTTGAAGAAAATTTCGAGCCATCGCGTTTTTCAATGTGGATTTAAATGCAATTTGATAGAAAAAAAAAAACAGATGTTTGAATCATCCTTTATATTACTTATGTGTAAATGTAAATACAATAGTTGTAAAACTTTTGTCCTCCGTAATTTATGTATATTACATGTATTTGTTTTTTGTTCATAGATTTTGACAATTCTAGTAATTTTAGAAAAATAACGACGCCGCTCTATGACTAAGATTCGTCATTTGTGTGGCAGACACAAAGATCTGTCGAAATCTTTGAAATATCTATGTATTTAATTAAATCTGTAATTAAATTATTTTAATATTACAGATGGGGGTTTTTTGTGTTCTGTCCAATTTTTATCAATTACCTTGAAAAAAGATCCGTCGCATGGATTTTATATTTTCTGCGCGCTTAGTAGTAGTTTGGTTTTTCAATGGCTAACGGGGGCTGTACGTTCACACGCCTGCGAAAAACAAAACAAAAAAATGCTCGAAACCTTGTAAAATTAGCCAGCATTAGTTTGAACGATCATATCCGTTCGAATAGACATTTCATTCCTCTCCCACCTCGAGCTAACCTTCCCCTCGCGAAAATAGGCTATATGTGTCCTAACCTTTATGACCTGACGAGAAATGTCAAGAAAGGTTATGGATTGCACAGCTCTGAACGGTATATAAACTAGATGCTGTAACCGTTAGTGTATGCTTGTTTTCGGTATAGAGTTCAATAAAAAATAAAAAAGTAACATACACGCAATTAGGAAGATGGAATCGGAAATAAAAAAAAAGAAAAAACTAAGAAGAAAAGCAAGAGCGGGATATAGGGTCCAAAAGCAAAAAAATAAAGAAGCATTAGTTTTAGCATTGCAGGAAAATAGAAGTAAGTTGAATTATCAAAGTTATTGTAAACTAAAATGTGCTTACACAGTCGAAAGAATCATCTCCTGTATATTTACTGAGAAGTAGTTTTTTATTTCTCTTGTAATTGTAAATTTGTGAGAGTTTCATAAATTTATGTATGGCATGTATCTGATGCCTAGTAAAATAAGTACAAAAGAAACAGTTTTAATTAGTTCACATTGATACTTTAGTTTTCTTTATACAACGCTATAAAACATCACTCTGTTATCAATACAATTATATATATCTCTCTCTAGATCAGCAAGATATAATAGAATCCAATAGGAAGGAAGCTCAAAGAGTAAATCAGAATGAAGATATATCTCCTTCGAACAATTCCATTGAGTACAATTTGCAATCTAAAGAAAACAATCAAGTATCTGCCAATTTCGCGTTATCCTCACCTTTGGAACAACAAGAGCTACCACAGAATAGTGAGAAAAGAGTTGACTCGTTGCGATTGCCAAAAGAACATTCATTTTCATTATCACCAAATCAGGATTGCTCACCAATGCAATTCGAGAATACAGAAGCAAAACAATTAGATCGTTCAAACGAAACTGCGTCTTCTTTGCGTGATTCTATCAATGACGAATTACAATGCGAGGAAAATTCTCAATTATTTATCGATTTCGTGGAATCTCCATCTTTAGAACAACAGAAGCTATCGCAAGACAATGAGGAAAATTTTAAACTATCGCAAGAAACTAGTGTATCTTCTTTGTGTCAGAACAGAATTAAAAAGGTTATAAAAATTGAAGAAGAAGAACTCTCATCAAGTGACAATATTAAACTACTACTTTTGAAACAAGAAAAGTTATTTATTCAATACAAGAACAGACTCGAACAATTAGACCTACAGGATCAAATGTTAACCTCTTTTAAGAAATATATCAGATTGTGTAATAAACATGAAGAGGACGTTTTTAAGTTAAAGAAGGAAATTATAGAGTATAAGTTACAAATTGCACAAAAAAAGTTAAAGTGATAAGTATTTTATAAGACTTAAATGAATGTTTATGTAAAATTTTTTTTATATCAGAAAACTTACTTACATTTAATCAAATAGAAGCTATGATATTTTAAAAGAAGCTACACTATGTATTGTTTTTCACAAATTAACAAATAAAGTGAAATATATTTTGCAAGTATTCACTTTGAAATTTGCAATTTGTTCACAAAATTCACACATGTCACATGTCAAATATTCGATAATTTTACACTACATTTTCGGTGCGAGTCAACCAAGAAAATTGACGAATAATGACGAATAAAGAATTGCATTTTCGCATAAAAGTGAGATTTGTCTAAAGAAATTCTCAAAATATTTCATTGCTTATCATGACGGACGATACGTCGCAAGAAAATATTCTGGATCGATTAATTGATTGCGGTAAATTTTGTATGTATCTTGATTATTCAACGATGTGAAAATAAAATTTAGACGTGTTTAGCAGTATTTTTCTCTGATATACGTGTGTTACTTCATCGTCATCGTAACGTAAAAAAATACATCGATTGATATTGATTTGCTACTAATCTCTAATATTTAATTTCGATATATATATTAAAACATATTTTGGATGCTTTCGAATATATGGAATTTATATTTAAACAGTATATTCGGGCGTGGAATGGAGCGTGGAACAAATTAAATCGGCATGTCCTCCCAAAATGAGAAAACCAAAAAAGAATTGCACTAAGCCAAAACCAAAGATGGAAGAAGAAACTGAAATAAGTTTGCCGTGTACGGAAAAACGGCCTTACGAAACTTCTGAACAAATTTGTTATATAAAAATGCAGGTACAAAATAAAATGTAATATAAACAGTTGTGATTCACATAAATCTTACATATGTGAATACTACATAGCTTGTTCTAAATGTTTATTTTTATTTAAAAAATATATATATATATATAATATATAATAAAATATAAATAAAATTATATAAAATAAGGAAATGCTGATACGGCAGTTTGAAGCAAACACTGATGTTGAAGTGTGAAGGTGAAAAATGTTTATTAAAGAATATGTGTGGTCTGTATAAACGTTTCGACCCTCGATTTGGGTCTTTATCAATATAAATATTCTTTAATAAACATTTTTCACCTTCACACTTCGACATCAGTGTTTGCTTCAAACTGCCGTATCAGCATTTCCTTATTTTGAATGATTTTGGAGCTTTTCATTATTTAACATATTTAAAAATTATATAAATCACAATTATATATATATATATATATATATATATATAAAATTATATATATATAATTTTTCTCAAAATATACTTTTTATATCTTTTGCTTCATCTTTAATATTTCTTTTCTTATGATTAAAAAAGTTTTGAGCAGTAATAATTTGACGAGCATAAGGTTTTTATAAAACTAAATATAAAAACATACCTTTTAATTTTTTTATATAATTCTCTATGTAATTACGATTTAGGATCCTTATGCTCCTTGCTGTTGCAAAACACAGGAACAACTACCACCGTGTCCTCCCAAGCATTATCGAGAACCACGCGAGCCGACTTGTACCTGTGATCTCTGTAAGAAAAAAGGAATTAGAAGCAAGTGTTGCGATTCAACAGCGTATGTCTTTTCACAACACAGTAAAGTCTAGACACATTTCGGAAACACGTAAAAGGTCTATGAGATTTAATTGTTGGTTGCCAAAACATGACAACTAGCTATAAAATTTGTTTTAAAAAATAATCAGTTTCTTTTGTAAAATTCGCTACAAATGTGTTCAAACAATTTCACAAATATGTCAATAATTAATTATTCCGCGCAATATATCGTCACAAAATACTTTGGACCGACTGGCAATGTCTGGCTCGCGTAATTGCTTAAGTGCTCAAGAGCGGTTGTTTTAAGGATGGAATTGAAGTTCGTGAGCGTGAACTTTGTGAAAGCTAGATCGTTGTTTATCGGTCAATATATTTCATCTTTTTTTTTAAAAAAAAAACTCAGAGATTTTAGGGCAACTAAAGCTCGAAATTCTTGGGATAACGCGCGTGTCTCTCTAATGGTCACATTTTGCGTTACATCTTATGTAAGTATCATACACTTATTTTCGAACAACTTTACAGTTTCTCTGATTTATACAATCTCTGTTTTTTTTTAGACGATTAGATAATCCCAGGAAAAAAGTTACTGATAACACTATATTGAGAAGACTGCCGCTACAAGCAGATAAACAACGTTTCGAAGCGCTGAGCCCGTTTCCGAGATATCTGTGTCGATATTAATTTATCGCGCTCAGCGGAATCGAGCGACCGTTTATGATGTTTTTCAACGACTGTTGGATGTTTCCGTCGATGTGCGATAAAAAAAATTTCGGCAAAAAATCACGACAATCGTTCTGTTTGATGCGTTCATTGCGCGGTTGGTGGACGTGAAAATTTTACAACGTTCACGACCTGGGACAATGAATATCGATGACTTTTTTAAATAACATTTTTGAATAATATGTAAATCGCGTGAAAGAAACAGGTTTTTGTATGAATATTTATTTTGCACTTTGAAGAAATGTTCAAAAACACATTCTCTAGTTTTGAAACCGACTTTGAGACCGAACCGTCCCATTTCTCAATGGGACAAAAATTCGATTTGAAGATGGCGGGATTTTCTGTTCGCCATTGCGTGTCCGAATCCTGCGCAGTCGAAATTCACATCAAAAACAGGTTAAATATAGGCGTTTCGCTTACCTTTGACTCACATTGCCGCACACCAGTGCCGAGTAATCTTATCGACGACGGTATAGCTCTGTATTAGATTCGATTTGCGAGTCTTCGTGCGAGGAAGTCGGTTGCCGCAGGATCGGCACCGCCCGTGTTTTCCACCAGCTTCGAAGTACCGGAGAGTACCATCGATTTTATCCGCATTTGATGTAAGTCCACGATGTCTTAAATTTAAATAAAAAACATGGGATTATAAATGTGTCGCACACAATTTGCGTTCTTTTATATCGGATCTTACGGACGATTCTTTTTAATATCAGCATTTGACGCTGTCTGTCAGTATTAACAAATACGAGTGTAATTAATAATCCATACGAGAATAATCCGTACACGCATTACGTTTCTGACTTTATATTTTACGATTCTACCGCGGTTGCGATAATCTTAATAATAATCGGTGTAATCTAATTAACATTAATAGCATCATTGACCGTGTAAGATCCGCAATTACACTCGCGCGTTGCTTATTTCATCTCATACTTTTCCGAATGACTGCAATTAGAAAACGCTTTTGTCAAACGCGTAATAGCATTGATGTGTTGGGTAACATTAAATTGATCGATTCCAAGTGGAACCGGTCGATTAAGGAAATCGGAGGAGACCGATCCCTTGTGAGTTTTGTAGGTGAGATTTTCGGTTGAAAATTAACAATCGAGATTTAAAAAATATCATTGACGATTAAATTTTTGCGCTTTAACGAGACGCGAGCGAGTGAGATGAAAATGACATTAACTACTTTAACTTGCCGGATATAAAGCGCGATTGTGATTTCTGATTGTCAAATTACCTGCCAACTCGACACCTGTTGACTCGCGCGTCCACCTGTGTCTGTCTCTCTCTCTCTCTCTCTAGTCACGCGATCGGGCGACAACGATATATCTCGATTTGCGAATTAATCGATTAATCGAATCTCTCTTCGCGAGCGAGAAAAGTCGATGATCGAAACTCGATGACAATTGACATGGCGGACAAGTGGGTGGTATAAATGTAAGTAGCGTCGAAGTGTTTTCGAGAAATGTTTCGAGAAATAATCTATTTGTTATTACTTGTGATTGTCAGGTGAATCACGGAAGCTGTGTGACGCGGATTTTAGATCGATCGATGTCATTGATCGCAGGTGCCAGCTTATGTATGTTGAAAATATGTGCCGTATCGATTGTAATACATCGTGTGCGGCAGTGACGCATGTTGTTTCACGTGAATTAAACGCGCGTGAGTCATAGTTATAGGAGACGGCCCGTTATATATGTTCGATGACGTCAGCATTTAAATGCGTAAAACGTGAGGAAATCCCCAATTTTATTCTGGAAACCGTAAAATAAAGTAGTAGATATATAAATTACGTTGAATATGCGAGTGTCGGAATTTTTTAAAGTAAACAATCTCAGAAATAATACAGTTTGTGTTAATAAAATATATATATATGTATATTTATGTTCATCGATAGAATTATATTTTTATATCGCGCAACATATTTTTCTCATAAAGATAAAAACGTAATTAAAAACGTGGTTATTAATATTCCAGACCCCTTTTAGTTGTTCGCACGCAGGAAGTAATTTGTCAGTCTCGGTTTTATATCTACTATCAAACCTCAAAATAGCGCGGGAAATTCCAGTCGTATGCGCGTCGGTAAACATTTAACCGATAAAATATAGCAGAGTGTATATCGCTTTTGTTTTGTTCGAAAAAAAGGATAACGTGCTTTTGTGAAAAAGTGAAATTCTCGAAACAAAATGATCGTCATCGATCGTGAAAAAATTTACGAAATTCTTGAAAAGTGTATTTTTTTTTTAGAAAAGAGAAAACGTTGAGAAAATTTCAAGTCACGAAACAATAGAAATTTATAACAAATTATTCAGATTTTATAATAATTACGTGACTAAAAGAATGAAAAAAAAAGAAGAGAGAGAAATAGATAAATTAATTGTTTTTTAATATTTGGCTTGTTTTTTTTAACATCAATGCGCATATAGTTTTTTCCTAATAATCTAAACGCGCGTCCGTTTGAACAACACCAACGGAACGTTGAATAATCAACAAGCGCGATAAACAATTTGTCGTAATGTTTGCGAAGAAAAATATCACGTGTTTCACAAACTTAAAACCGTAAAACAAAGATATCGATGAAGCAAATACATGCGTGTTCCGCACGAATGATCACAATATTGTTGCGGAGAGTAAAATTTTCCACATGGAAAACACAGCGTGTTATTTCCTAATTAATCCTAACGACTACGTGTCCACTGGCACACAGTGTGCGAGCGCCTGTTGTTTATGTATGATAATATTAAAATATTTATTTATAAAATTTTATTTCATATTGTGCTTGTGATCGATGAGATAACAGCACACAATCTTTTTTCTTTATATAAATAGATATTTTATACGTACACAGATACAGACTTATATCACAAATAAACTAATATCGATTCCCATATCCAAAGAACGCGTCTTTTTTTATACTATACGTTCGAAATAACTTATTTTTTTGTCCATGAGAAACAAATCTTTCACGTCACGTGTGTTGTTGTAAGAGTAACAATCAGCGTTAACAATTGGGGAAGGAATTAAAAAAAAAAACAATTTATTACACGGTCGGGATTTTTTTATCGGACTATTTTCGAAATGTTCTACTTTTGCTCGCTTTGATACGGTTCGTTTTATATGTCGAGACTCTATTCGACATATAACTATTCTGGATACTCATATATGTAGTAGAATAACCGGTTTCTCCCCACACCGGCGTATCTTCAGCAAGTAGACTCTTCGCCGCTTGGGGTTTTTTTTTTTTTTTAAAGAAGTATATTCTAGCACGGCAATGAACACATACGTATGGGTTATATTGCGTGACGTTAAATGATGCCATATACATTTGCATGTTACAATGAGCGTTAAAACAACACTTTTGAAAACAGCGCAAAGCTTATTTATCTCTAACGAATGAACGAATGGCGTTTTTTTTTTGTGCAAGAAAATGCAGATGGGTGAGAAAAGTTTAGCACTCGATATTATTTAAAACAATAAATACATATAAAAGTACATGATAAGTAAATAAGTAACAATATGTATATAAAATATATAATATCTTGAAAATATAAATAAATTTTATATATAATATCAAGCTATTATATAAAATATATAATATCTTGATATTATAAAATCAATATCTTGATATAAAATATATAATATCTTGATATTATATATTTTATAATATATATAAAATATGTAATATCTTGAAAAATGAAAAAAAGTGTAGTAATTTAAAACCTAAGTGTTTCTTAAATTTTTCTCTTTTTTTGATTTGTTTATCTGCTTGTGTTACTTCTCGTGTTTTTCCCTCGCGAGAAAGATCGTTGAAAATTGTATGTGGCAAACGCGCGTTTCTTCACAGAGCGGCATTTGTTGCACAAATGTTCGCGTGCAATTGAATACTTGTGAAAATCAAAACCAAGGGAAAGTGGTGGTTGCTCTTATATAAATTTAACCTTGCATCTGTGATAACTGGTTTTCCAGAACTGGTTTTCTACTAAAGGTCGTAAAGGGCTAGGTAAGCTCTTCGGTCTCCGCATTAATAATAAGTACACGCGATAAGAATAAACGTGCGCTAAACAAATTCGCAATTCAATAAATACCGCGTTAACCGTCCAGATTATTCGCGATTTTTCTTGACAGAGAATTACAAAAATTTTTCTTTCTCCCGACAAAGAATGTGTATTTAGTTTGTATTTATTCAAACATTTATTTTGTCGTTCGGTTAGTTAAAAAAAAAAGGGAATAATTTTTACGCGCAATCGCAAGTAAACGCTCACGAAGTTCAAACGTTGACAACTTGAACAATGAAAAAAACATTATTTGGTGCAACTTCATGCGCTTAGGCATTCACGATGTACCAACTGTTGCGTGTACTTTCAAGAAGAAGAAGCGAGACGTTTCTTTTTCAATTTTTTTTTTTTTTTTTGCGACCCAAATCGACGATCGGCACGAAACAATCGACAGTTGTTTACATGTAATTCGGGCGTTTGGGCGTTTTTTTTAATTTGCGACGCGAGAACGTCTCTCCGCGCGGTTTACGTGTGTCTTGTAATTATATTCACATCAAACCTCGACTAGGAAGATGTAATTGATTTGAACTGCTCGAACACACGTTTCTTCACGATTGGTTGTACCCGTTTGCGTCAACAAACTCGCTTGCTCGCTCGCTCGTTCGCTCGCCCGCTCGGCGGGGATAGCTCCCCGGGATTTAACTTGACGGGGTATCTGCGAAAGATCGGCAATAGTTAGTCGCTCGTCGACTCGTCCACATCGTATATTTACTAAGAGCTATAATATTTCGACATTTTCAGACAAGAAACAATCGTCGGCGAACAAAATGAGTGAGTAGATATCAGAATTTTCGAGACGCTTTCATTTCAGAATTAATAATATTCAATCGGTTCTTGACACGCGCGTGATTTCTTTATCTTAAAAAAAAAAAACATACACGATTGACAATAAACATCAAAGAAAATTTCGAAAATCGGTTATTTATTCGGAGTCGCAAAATAGAAATAAGAAATAGAATCGAATGTGCAATTGTCATCTCAAAAAACTTGTAATGTCTCGGTATGTGTGCCAACATTTTCAGCCTCTTCTCGGTCTGTGAAAATGTACGTTCGCCGGTTGCTTTACACTTGTTTTTTTTTTTTTTTACCGATATAAGAGATTTTTAAGTTTAAAAATAATGATGAGCACACGTGTTGATTGAACTTGAATTCAAACTTGTGTGTTCAACGATCACATATTGAAACAAGACACGGAGATGTTTTTCATTGCAATGTTGAGCTTGATAACTCGCAACGTGATGTATATACTTATAGAAAATATATACGTGTGTGTATATATTGTCGGTCAATCTTGAATGTCATTGACAAATACAATCGATGTTATTGAAAATACAATTCGTCAAAACTTTGAGGATTCACCAAATTTTCCATTAAATTGCGTTTTTATCAGTTTGCTCCCTTTTCCACTAAATTAGCTTCACAAAGACTAACTTGACGTACTTTGTATTATAATTAGTTCTCGTAAGGTTAATAAAATCAAAATGTGATCGTCGGCCCACACAGATTGCTCTTTCGCAACTGTAATAACCTTGTGATTTTGCCTTTCTCGCAAAAGCGAACAGCAAAACTGTCGTTAATGTTGTTGCAAAAATCGATTTTCACTCTCTTTTCACATTTATTAGATCTAAAAATTATCTAAATAAAGTTGCTCTCAATATTTTGTTTCGATGGTTTTAGTTTGAAATTTTATTTTATTTTACTTGTGTATTAGTTAAAATAACCGATGTCTCTCTTATTCAAAATGATGTACAGTTAGATATGTATCGCGCGAAAATCTGTTCGCGCGCACAAGGCGTCTAATCAGAGATATCGAGTGTGTGTTCGTTCATTATTAAAGCGCCGGTCTCTGTACAAGGCATCGCCGAATTTCATCCGACTCGACAACCTAAAAGCGGTTTATCGATACACACTGAATTCGAATTGGCGATAATGCGACCCAAGTCGTAACTCTTTCTCTCTCTCTCTCTGTCTCTCCTCTCTCTCTCTCTCTCGAGATAATATAGCTCCAAGGTTCCAATTCCATGTCAGTACCGTTCGCGATCGATGTGATTCATTTCGAGTTGCGCAGCATGAAGTTTTCTTTCATTATCAGTTGATTAGTATCGTCGTTTCAATTGATCCGCTCTTATTAATGCGGAATACTGCTAAGAGGTACATACCGGCTTCGACGTTTCGCATTATTTCTGCTCGAGTTTTCTAAATAGCAGAGATGTATTTGGTTTTTTTTTTTTTGTTGTTTTATATTTTCTCTAACTCTTCTTTTTTTAATTTATTCAGTTAAAAAAATGTGCGAGTTTATATCGTTTTACAAATATTTAAATAAGTTTTTTTTAACAAATTTTATGATATTCTTTCCGTCCGACAATAACGGAGCCACTTGCAATGAGTTTTTTTTTTTTTTGTTAACAATAAATTTGCGCGTGGCATTGCGTTGGTTACGTGCGAATCATAATTTATGTTTACAAATAAAGGCGAAGTAATTTTCTTTTTTTTACAACACACGCAACAGGTGTCTTCATTTCTTATTTATCGAGATAAAAAATTACTGAAGTACGATTATCGTAATGTTTTATTTGCTCGTCTCGGTTTCTCGTGTCTACATCTATATTTCGTATTTAAACAATCGGGTTTTTCCCCGATGAGAAGCAGTAGGAATTATTATTATCTTGATTGTGTTAAATACCGCGACACACGTTCTCATCCGTTATTTCCACCTCGTATATGTTTGTCAAATATATATCTCCTTCTCATTTATTTTTTGTGTGTTTGCAATAAAAAGTCTTCTTATACTTATCATCGATTTGCACTTTTTCTCGACGTGCTTATCTCGGTTGTGCTTTGAGAGAACGTTATTACGATAAGCGCGGTGAATGAATGCGATTTTTCTTTCCGATCGTTGACATCGTTATTGTAGCAAAATTTTTTAATAATTGAAGATATCGATGCAAATGTTGCTAAGCAATAATCACGGTTGCGCACGTATGTACGTGATCGTTCACACATAGGTATATACACTGTGCATTTCACATTCTTTTTTTTGTGTATGTGTATGCGTGTATTGGGCAACACACTACTATTCTACATTTGTAGCGTGTTCCAAATTCATCCTTGAAAAGTAGGGTGTATCAAAGGTCAAACTGTAAAAAAGAATATCGATTTATTTGGCTTCGGGAGATACCGAAATAATGATAGCTTGTTTGTGTTTTGCATTGTAAAAAAAAATATTAAAGAAGTCTCTTTTTTCTTTGACTTAAAAATGAGCTTTAACCTCCATGTGTGCGTGCGAGAAACTTTATTTGTATTAATAAACTCTTAGCTCTTTTTGATTGAGCATATACGTAGATATTTAAGAGTGAAAGAGAGAGAGAGAGAGAGAGAGAGAGAGAGACATTGACATTTTGATGACCGATGCTGACACATTGCTTTCGGTGTTTATCGTTTATCGTGTTTCTGTTACACAACTTTTGAAAACTTCTAGTAAATTAAAAATTACTTAAAGATATAAGATATTATTCACAGGTCGTTGTATACGTACATTTGACCTCTGCGATAACGTTATCTCTTACTTTCTCATTACGGTCTTGTTTATATCGCTTTTTTTTATCAGCAACTAAATCGACGAACGTTAAAGTCGAAATCAATCTCCTCCATTTTTTTTTTTTTCGTTGAAATCAATTTTACCACGAAACAGTTACAAACCAGTGCTACCCCCAGGTTGGTCACAATGAAACAAAAACTTCGCAATATTTAGTTTTCTGGCAACAAAAACTTTCGCCCGATTCAGAGTCACGTCATTAAGCGCGAAACGGAACATATGGTCTCTCCGTCGAAAACAGATTTATGTTTTATGCGATGATGAAAAATTAACGATGAAGTTAGCGATGTTTGGATTGAGTAATTCAAGCGGTGAGTTTGTGCGCGCGCGTTTGTTACGCGTAATCATTTATTATTCGCACAATTATGCATGTGTACGTGGAAATTTTTCTCGCGCAAAAATACGTCATTAAAAAAGTAATTACAAAAATGTGTAAATTTTAGCTGTTGAATTTCAATAAAATTATGTAAAAACTTTATTGAAAAATTGACGTATGTGTGCAAAAGTACATGATAATCATCTCAGACACTGACTTATTGACATTTCTAACTCATAATTGACGTAGAGAATTATTTCAATTGCATATTGTTATTATACGAGATTATTCTTAAATAAGAAAAAAAGATTATACATACATATATAAATGTACATATATATATATATATAATTGCACGTACATCCGGCATATTGGCTCAAGTGTCGACCTCAATACTTCGTTGTTATTCTTCACACTCGCGCGCATTGCATAATGGATAATAAATTCAAATAATTAATCGTTATTATCTCGTTTTCTATGAAATTCTCGTATAAATGATTCTTCACAAGAATCATCTAATTGCAATCCATATAAGGTAGCATAAAAAAAGTAAGAAAATCAATCAAATTTGAACGTACATTAGGATGAGTAATATCAAGCGAGACATAATTTAGCGTAAAAATAGCGAAACACAACACAACATAATTTTTTTGCGAATAAAAATATTTTTCTTCGGTCTGCAATTTACATACAAGCAACAGGTTTTTTTTTCGAACAATTTAAACAAACGCTTGAATAAATTTATATTTGTGCTAATTCTCTCTCTGTGTGTGGTTTTTTTTTTTATAAAAAATATTTACTATGTTTGCTTCGAGTTGTATATTCTAATTTTCTTATTTTCTATCCTTGAACGATCCGCGTGTGCGTATATACGTACAAAGGATCCGTAACAGTAGTAGTTGACTTTCGTGTTCACCTTGAACAAGTTGTTGTCCGTTGCGTTATATCGATTTGTACACGCGACCTCTCCGCGCAAGCGGTGTTTCGATAACGATTTTCGAAATTTAAATGCGACGAATTTGTTTTCATCAAGTGTCGGTTAACAACACACACACACACATACAAGATTTGTGAAGAAATATCGAATTAGCACGGCGTATTGAATTAGTGAGAGAAAAATCATCGCGCGCTAATTACGTTTCTCCCCCTCGAGAATGATCGTAACGAACAAAACGCAGGGATACGTAAAAGATGCGTAAATTCTATATTACCGGATCGAGATTAACAATATATTTTATATTATTAACAACGTCTCTCGACTGTTGCGATAAGAAATCGTTAAATTCATGCTCTTTTCATTGTTGCAGTTCGAACGAGTCTCTTATCACTTTGCCTGATTGCGTCGGCTATGGCATCGCCAATTGAAACCGATATGGCCCTTCAGGCTGTTAGCCAAGGCGCTCAGTTATTTTCCACAAGTTTTGTAAAGGTAAATAAAATTTCACCATTCACAAACACACACATTTTGACTCTTCGGGCGCGACGTCAAGTTACGATATTATGAGATAATCGCTTTTGTTTTTTTTTTGTTTTGTTTTTTAGACTGTCTCAAAGGAAAATACAGGCAATTTGATATGCTCGCCGTTGAGCGCTAATATTGCCCTGAGCATGGCTGCCGCTGGTTCCGGTGGAAACACCGAGGCGCAGTTTAAAGATGTTCTCAAGCTGCCGTCCGAAAAGACACAGAGTTTGAACGGTTATCACAATCTCATTCAAGCCTTGAACGTAAGTCGATTTTGTATTGTACAATTATACACACATAATGTGTGACAATTATCAAGCAGCATTGATTAAAACTATACGTATGTTCTCCTCTTGCAGAATGTCGAGAACGTCACTTTGAAGCTCGCCAACAAGATGTTCATCGGTGAGAATTTTCCGGTGAAGCCGGAATACAAACAAGAACTCCAGACGCACTATCTTTCTGACATCGAGTCGGTGGATTTCGCTCAGAAGGAGAAGGCTGCGAACACCATCAACACCTGGTGCAAGGAAAAGACCAACGATCGTATCGACAGCATCATTAACGCAGGTAAAAACATTAACAATCTTTAGAGCAAGAATTATTAAACGCAAATAAAGTCTTTCCGTCATCAAATTGACGAGAATGTTCAAAGACAATTGCAAAGAATCTTGCGTGATAACTTGATGACGCGGGTTATACGTTTTGATTACAGAGGATGTCGATCCAACTACGGCACTCGTGCTCGCTAACGCTGTGTACTTCAAGGGCAAGTGGCAAAACGAATTCGACCCGAAGGCCACCCACGATCGTCCGTTCCACGTTGATGTCAACACCGTGAAGAACGTTCCCACAATGTTCAGAAAGGGCAACTACAAATACGCCGATTTGCCGGATTTCGACGCTAAATGCATCGAACTTCCATACGCGGTAATGTTGCTTTTTCACGAATTAACTTTTTTTGAAATTTCTTTGAAACAACATTTCGCGAAATTCTACGAAACATTTGATGACACGAGTTAATGTATATTTTGTCAGCGTTTGTTTGATAAAAAAAAAAACAATATTCACAGATTTATTCGCACTGTTACAGAACAAGGAAGTTAGCATGGTGATCATTCTGCCCAACAAGATCGACGGACTCGCCGCGTTGAATGACAAGCTCAGCGAAGTTACCGCGGAATGTAGCACTCGTCTCGCCCAAACGTACGAGCGTGAGGTTCAGGTGTTCCTGCCGAAGTTCAAGACCGAATCCAAACTCGATCTTGAAAACACTTTGGCCGAAAAGGTATGAGAACGTGTGTTTGCGCGAGCAATTGATCGACAACGAATGGAACGAATGTGTCTAACGCGCGGCGTTACTCTGTCGACAGATGGGTCTTACCGAGCCGTTCACCGATCATGCCAACTTCGAAGGAATCTCTTCTTTACCTTTGAAGATCAGCAAGGTTGTTCAAAAGGCTTTCATTGAGGTTAACGAGGAAGGTAGCGAGGCAGCCGCCGTCACTGGTAAGTATATTTAATATCTGGTTTTTTTTTTATCTACTTTTTCTCATTTGTGGCCAATAAAAACAGGCGAAATATTTAAATTTAACTTTTAACAATCCTTTTTTTTATAAGCAAGCTTTTTTTAATTTGTTTTATAATTTATTTCTGAATTTATTTTTTTTTTATAATATTCTCATGGGTATTATGGTTTCGTTATTGTCGTACAGAGAGATTTCTAATCGAACAAGAAATGTAAGATAAACCAACATGACAAAAAAATAAGATATAAAAAAAAATAAAAGATTAACTAATTGTTTAATATCAAGATTATTCGAGTTTCGCCCGTTTTTATTTTTGGGATACGCCAAGATTTTTTATTTGCTTCTGAGAAACTCTGAGAAATTTGTTCCGGAAACAAACGATTCGATTTCGTTTTTATGCGCGTGCGCATATATTTTTCTATCTTTTTGTACGGCGTTTACGTTTCCGTGGCAAATTTTGCAAAAGTTTTGGCTCTCGGAGTTTCTGCGGCACGGATGTATGTAACTTTGTACGCTGCCGTGATTTTGAAAGGCTGAACGCTTAAAAAAAAAAAAAAAAAAAAAAAAAAACTAAGTATTGCTTTTAAACAATTTAGTTAAATATTGCTCGCTCGCTTTACACGCTCATTTCAATTAAAAAAGTCGCTAATCTGCATCGGAATGCTTTTCAAAGTTCTCTTGTATTTATTCTTTTTTCTTTCCTTTTGTAGCTTTTATTAGCTTCTTCGGTTTTTTCTTTAACGCGTGCACATGTACTTGTTGCATCGTCAATGAGCATTTAACCACAACGCATTGTGTGTCTTGTCTTGTTTGATTGCGCACTTCTTACTCACAATCGTTATTGATTTCGTCAGACGACGATTTAAAGAAACAAATCGTAGCGCAATTGCCGCAACGATATTTGTATACCTATATATTTTTTGTTATTGTTAACAACACATATATACAATAAAAAGAAAACTTTTTTAAATTCTATCCGCAGTAGGATGGTCGAAATGAAATGTTGCGATAATTATCGCAACATTCGAAGAGTGTTTATATTCGACTTGAATCGTGTGATATCATGTTATTCGTGTTATCAGTGTTAGATAAAAAAACAAAAAAATAAGAAAAATTACCATAACTCGAATTACAAAATTTCACAACGCGATATCGCTTTAGTCGCGTTAAAAGTCTTGTGAGTAATTTGTTTTAAACTTGAGTGTAATTGTGACAATTGAAACAGAATTATCTCAAGATTTCTTCAATGTGAAAGTGATGTGAGTCTTGCCCCAACTTTTTTAATTTTTTTCTTTCGCTGTAATCGAATCATTTTTTTTATTCGATTTAATTGATGATATCAATGACTGTGGGTGATCGCGGAGAATGTATTAATTCAGTTGTTCTGGATTGAAACAGCACTTTTCAAACTAATAAAATAACAAAAAAGAAAAGGAAAAACACTTAAATAACTTAATAAACTTTACTAAGGAAAAAGAAAGATGAAAAATGGCAAAAAGTCGATCGAGAAAAGAACTTGAACCTATAAATTATTTGTGAAAAATAATTATATCCTCTTTCCAATAATTAGCTTGTTGTCTCGACGTTACTCGTCGTTTGAGTTATCAGTCGCTATCAATTGTCCGTTTTTATCACGAAACTATTTTTCTTTCGGTCTGTGTCATGAAATTAAACACGGACTGAATTTTTTTTTGGGCGAAGTGTTATCTGTTTGTTCGATGACGCACGAGAAAAACGGTAACAAGAAACGCATGTTTAAACACAATCTTTCTAACATTTAAGATTGAAAAATATATAAAAAGAACTAAAAATAAAAAAATGCACAAACAGTTTGGTGCTCGAGTTAATTCGAGTTCTTTTCTGTACTGTATTGAATCAGATGAGATTCAAATATTTTTTTGCTTGAATACTATCGGTAGTATTTCACTCGAGCAATTAATTTGGGAACTCGGCGATCTCGTCAATGAAAACGACTAATTGATATTCACGGAACGATCTTCCGTGACAGGTGCTTCCGTCAGACCTCTCTCTCGAGCGTTTTTGAGCACCACCGCAGTCTTTAATTTACTTCGCGTCGATCTTTCTTTTCTGACGATTAAAAAAAACACAACAATGTCGCGTTGCTTTTAACAAAACGAAAAATCAAATTTTTACGAAAAATATAACATATTAGATTTAATTTTTGTGATATTAATATTATATTTAATTTTTAATATCAAGAAGAGACAGAGTCTAACTTGAAGTTTGAAATTAAAATTTTTGTTGATAAAAAAAACATTGTTTTACACTTACATTTTTAATATAATGTGGCTCACATTGGTCGTATTTTGATATTATCACAAGCTTCTTTACTTATTGATTAAGAAACTCTTTTTTTTTATAAAATAGTTTCTTGTGTGTACTTTTTATAATTTATACAAATTGTTTCATGGATAATAGCATTTTTTAATTACTTTTTTCTATAAGAGAGAGATGTGATTTTTATTGATCATCTTGATGTTCACTTCTTTTTATTTTTTTTAGCTTTATTTAAATTTTTTATGAAAACTTTTGCAAGTGATGTTTTTGTCTTTATATTTCTTAATTTTGTTCGTCGTTTGATTTTTTATACGTATACTATATAGCGCAACGCGAAAATTTGAAGTGCATTTAACTTGGTTCTTTCACACACAAAGTAATAATTGTTTTTATTAATGATCAAACATTTTTTTAACGTAAATGTTTTCTATGATTTGAGATGATAAGAGAAGAAATATATCTGTAGTTTAAACGGCAAGATAAAATTTATTAATATTTATCGCTAAGTGTTTTCTCTTTTTTATAATTATTTTACATTTTATTTTTCTATTTTACACACACAAAGAAGTTAAAAATGTATAACAAAAAAAAATGTATCTCGCAGAAGTTTTTGAGAATAACGAGTTGAAACTATATGATTAAAAACATCGTCTTCCTGAATCGACTTGAAAGCACTTCGACGCTTCTTAGTCAATCTTCGAATCTTAACACAAAAAACGTTAACACAAGGTGGGATTTGGTATTTCTCTGGTAGGCATCAGCAACCGAAGATTTCTACCTGATTTCGTGAACTTCAATGCGAACAAGCCGTTTTCGTTTGTAGTGCAAACCTCAAGCAATTTCGAACTATTCGGAGGCCAAGTGCATGACCCAAGAAGTTAACCAAGACGTTGACACACGTGTGAACACACACACGTAAAATGCGGTAGCGGTCTGTAAAAAACGATCTGTAAGACTTGCCTAATTCTCTGCTTGTACACTTCCTCTTTTTTTTTTTTTTTTCTTTGTGGTTCACACTTTTCTTCTCTTCGCTCAATAATATTTTCATCACGCGCGATCGCACTTGACCGTAATTTCTCTCTTCCACATTCCACAAACAATCGGTTGTCTTGCAAGCTCCTATCTCAATGGTAATGTGGTTATCACTGAACGATCTGTCTTCCATTCCAATGATGGAATATTGAACAAAGCAAAGTATTTCTCAGAAACTTGAAACGCAACTCAAAGTAGCGAGTGTATAAGAATGATGAGACAAAAATTAGAGAAGAAAAATACGTTCTCGCAGAGAGAGAGAGAGAGAGAGAGAGAGAGAGAGAGAGAGAGAGAGAGAGAGAGAGAGAGAGAGANAGAGAGAGAGAGAGAGAGAGAGAGAGAGAGAGAGAGAGAGAGAGAGAGAGAGAGAGAGAGAGAGAGAGAGAGAATGATTTCGCACACATTTGGCATACAAAACATACATTCGTGCAAATGTCAAGATAGGAGGATTGAGTACATCGAGTTATTAATGCGACATCTGATTACTGATATTTTGTTCGCAGCTCTTTCATTCGTGCCACTTAGTGCACATTGGAAAGCTCCATCGACACCAGAGTTCAAAATAAATCAACCGTTTCGTTATTACATTCGTCTTAACAAGAAAACATCCTTGTTCGAGGGTTACGTGAACATTCCAGAAGTGAATTAGTTAATTTTTACACACATGTATGACAAAAAAAAAAAAAACCTCTCGCATAACTAAAACTTTTTTAGTTTTCGGGGCGCATTTCGTGTATAATATTTAATTAGCGATGAAAATAATATAAACGCGACAATCATAAGAATATATACAAATAAGACATTCTATAACATGTCAAAAATTGTCTTTGTGTTAATTTGTTTTATTTAATTTAAGCTGAAATTTAATACAGTTTATTGTGTATAGGTATATATATATGTATATATAATGTGTATATATATATACATAAATATACATATATATTTTTATTGATACATTTTATTGATACATTTTATTGATACATTTTGATCTCATTACAACAATGTGACTTTAAATCTCAAATTCTTTGTATATAATATAATCGTTAAATATCTCACGTGTATTTTGTGTTTTTTTATTTTGCTATCATATTATTTGACACAGCAATCCATAAACGAACAACAAACCATATATTATTTATAACATAATACAGATGAAACCTATGTTTGAAAATGAAGAATCCTAGTAAGCAAATAATAACGATTAGAGGAGATGGTTTTTGGACTTGCCAATTTTTTATACAGACGTTTTGGAAACTAAAACGTCTGTATAAAATATGACACTGACGCGGTACAAACTCAAAAACCATCTTCGGATATATTAATGCAACACACACCGCGGAAGCGTCAAATGTCAGAATAACGATATATTTTCTTCTATTTTGCTTCGAGAAGTAATTCACGAGAGCAAAATCTATTCACATTCGAAATCAAGGAATCGTTTTATCTTCGACGCAAATTGTTCGTTTTATTATTATGTTTATTATCAAGAAAGGAGTTCGCTCGCTATATTTATTCGTCGCATAAACACACATCCTAGAATAATAATATTAAATCCGTTAAAACTTTTTGCCTGTATTAAACTTTATAAAGATCATGTTTATGTCACTGGATCATGTTTTCATATCACTCGATCATATTACCGTATTTTATATTGCCTACAAATAAATTGAAAAGGTCTAAAAGATTGCGATATGCTAATTATTTTTCTTGTGTGAGATTGTCTCGTATCAAAACTTCACATACTATCACACACTGTTCGGTGGAGGAAACGAAACGCGAACAAAAAATGTATGTTATCTCGCGAAGAGAGAGATTTCGATAGAATAATTTCTCAAAAGTTAGCCAGACACAATCGCAAACTAGCTAACAATCTATATATATTATATTTGCAGGTATACAAATTGTTCCCGCTAGTTTGCCGCTATATCAACCGCCAGTGTTTCGCATAAACCAACCGTTCTATTATCACATAAAATACGCCTTGTCGTCAAATGTGGCTTTGTTCAACGGCCACGTGATCGAACCGAAAATCTAGACTGTCTGATAAAAGGAAATATCGAGTAAAAAAAAAAACAAAAAGATTTGTCGAAGTTCGCTTTTGATTTATTCATATCAGTGTAAATCTAATTTTATTTTTGTCGAATTTAATTTTGAGATTTTAACGCAATGTGACGAATTGTAAAAATTGATCGTTACTTTCTTGTCACTGACGAACAATAATAATAATAATAAATATTCTGCGTGACAAACGCTGTAAATAAGTTATTTCAATAAATTTGATATGATAATCAATTTTACGTTTCAATGCGATCCGAATGTAACAATCATATAATTAGTTTTATTACGTATAGATACACTAATTACACGTATCTTTACAATAGCAGTTTATTCTTATCTCTGTGCTAAGATTGTTTTTGTTTTTATCTATCGTCGTTTCAACAGAAACGAATTTGAAATCTACGTCATTGCAGTTTGCAAAATATTGTTTGCACGTGCAATTTTTCATTTACTTTAAGTTTTGAATCGTTTTTCTTCGTGAAAGCTGAAGCTACGATTAAAGACCGAAATGTATATCTTAATGATCAGGTACATACAACTGATTGGATTTTTCTGAATTATTATCCACGACCATCTCTTTATGTCGATCCTTTATATATCACGTTATTTTGATTTTATTTGTTATATATTTTTTGATTAAAATTACATGATTATCAAAAAGAAGATCGTTGTGCCATCGATACGGTCAAATATGAATATAAATAAAGATATTCATTTTTTTCTAGCGACTCGAGGTGAGCTGAGAATAGTCATAAACCTGATAAATGCCAACAGACCTTTCTACTACGTCATTAAACACAATACTGTTACGATCTTCGACGGATTTGTCACGAAACCAAAATTTTAGATAATTGAAAAAGGTTAGAGATTTTTTTTTTTTTTTTTTTGAGTAATTTATGTCTACCGTCTTTAGTCGCAACAATTTGCGAGAGAATAAAATTGTTGCGTGTTGATATGTGTTGTGTATTTTTAATAAACTTCTTAAAGGCATGCACGTGTATTACTTAGATAAAAAATTGTTATAAATTGAAAGGGAGTATTAACTACTTATATGTCGTCGTTAATTGTTGAATTTTTTTGAAATATTCAGCATTATTGAAAATGTAGTTTTTTTTAATAGTGACGTTCCGTTTTGATTATGTTAAATAAATATTGAACAGTAATATTGCGTATATATTATGGTTTTGAGACGTTTAAGCTTCAACTTGCACATCAACAATATCGATTTTCTAATCGATATGGCATATATAAACATATATTTAAATCAAATAATTAGAATTCAAAGAAGAGACCGCACCACACAAGACCAGCGTGATTAATTTCGCGCGAAGTTTTACTTGTGTATAATATAAATCTCGAAAAATTCGCACACACGTTACAACTCCGAAGTTGGATCCTTTACAGTGAGCTACGATGTATAAGAAAGCTATTAAAAAAAAAAGGTGGGTGAAAAAGGATCAAATTAAATTAAATAACAAAAATAATTGAACGCGCACACTTGTTGCTTCGGTAGGTAAAAAGTTAATTGAATAATGAGAAAAAAGACATATCGCGCGTATATATTGTCACACTCGCCTCCGCAACTCCGACAGAGTTGCGAGTATGGATCTCCGCGTGTCTCTGAACATCGCAGCATGCGGTTTCTATTTTCTTCATTTTCACTCCTTCCACTTTTTTTCGTCGCTTTATAACGAAAGTTCTAATAATCGAATCGTCGTCAATTACGCTTTTTTGTATTTAACAAAGTTTCTCTGTGTAGGCCGACACGTTCGGTTAAAATCAATGGTCTTGTGATTTGTTTCTAGGTATGACATTCTTGCTGTTAATGCCGGCTCTTCGACCTTTGCCCTTAATTTTCGAAGCGGACAGACCGTTCTATTATGTTATTAAACACAACGTAGCGCCGATCTTCGTTGGATACGTCGTTGCACCATCAACAAATTCTTAATATATTAATTGAGGTCGTTTGTAGCATAGACAGCACGCGCACACACCAATAAAAAAAAAAAAAAGCACAAATATTTAATTCAAGATTTTTAATCAAGCACATTGGGAAAATAAAAAACACTTGCTTCGTTCAAAAAACGGATTCGCCTCGGATTTATTAATCGAACACCATATGTGTACCGCATATTAAAAATGTTTTCTCCTGTCAAATAACTTGCTTTACAACACACACAATATTTCTCTCTGCAATTTGCCACACTCGCTGACATCAATCCCATTGATTTTCTAGAGAATCTTTTCTCCAGTATGTTTCTTTATTACACACAGATATGTTTTTTGATCTTTTTGGTGATGATTTTTGAGGTGGTTAATAAAACAATAAGCTCGCACACATTCGCACGGGATCTCGCATCGCAACTCTTCGCAGTTCGATTCGAAGTTCTTAAGTGCAATATCTATCATTCGTAAATAATGTAACGCAAAAAACAATATCCGTCTGTTGTTGTTCGCTTTTGTGTGTTGCTTTTTTGTCGAAAGTTCGTTCATTTTCTTTTTTTTTCTCTCTTCTTAAAAAAAAAATGGTTTCATTTGGATTTTTGTATTCTGGTTTTACAATTTCGTGATTTTTTTTCACGAATTTTGATTCCAGTTTACGACAAAAAAACGCGCGCTAGACACACGCTAGGCTAGTCGTCATCGCATCTCGTAGTTCAAAGTAGAAATGCATGTATCTCTTTCTTTATTTCTTTTTTCCGTTCCGCCGTTTTATTTTATTGATCTCCGCTCAGTCTCGAAACCAATCGCGGAACCAATTTCTCATTCTTTACCGATCTTCTTTTTTTTATTTCGTTGGAATTAGCACGTTCAATTCCATGATATGTTTCCAGGAGTCGGATTCGAAGTGCGCTGTCTAGTGATACCGACCATCGTGACGATTGATCGTCCGTTCTTTTATCAAATTGTCAAGGTTCTCCGGAATCAGGAGACCGGCCACGACGACGTCGTGTCGTTATTCGTCGGGACGGTAACCGTGCCGATTTATTAGCGGTCACAATAATAATAAACACACAATAATGCCCGCATACACACCGTTTGTGCACACACGCGCGTTAAAAACAAAATACACTCGGATGGATCGCCTCTTTACTCTCGAGAGACGATTTTATTTAAATTAAAAAATTCTCAAGTGTGCACAAATCGACGAATCATCTGTGTATGTGTGTAAAGTTTGTTAAAAAATGTTCTTATTTTGTTTTGTTGTTTTTACTTTGCAATCTTGTTAAATAATGATGAATATATTTATTATTTAATTACGAAATGTGATTAAATGTTATATACTTTTGTTGTTGGTGAGTTAGCATTGATTTTTCGAGCTGCTTGTTTATTGATGTGTTACTTAGGTGTATAAGAAAATTATATATTTATATATATATATATATATACATATATATCCATATATATATATATACGCAAACCAAAGAAACAACTAGGAAATATATATTAAATGTTTCACGTGACGCTTCTCGCGTGTAATTGAAAAATTCGTCGAACGTAGATTGTGTAATGTTAGAAAATTAGAAGTTTTGTATTATTTGTCTCAGAAGAGAAAACTCTCAATTGTGCTAATATACGCCTCTGAAATCAAAGGCGATCGTCTGACCACCAAAGTAAAATAAAAATTTGACAACGCATTAGAGACTTTTTATTCTTTCCTCTATCTGATACACAATTTTCTTTCTCTCTCCATTGCGACGTTAGTGTTTCTCTCTCTCTCTTTTTTTTTTTTTTTTTTAGTTTTCTCACTTGTGCGTTTTTTTTATTGTGTGTTTCAGCTATTGTCGCCGTGCTGGAAAAAGAGATAATATCGTTTCTGCCGCCAGAAATATTTTCGATCGATTATCCGTTCATTTATAGCATCGTCAAAACGGAAGAGCATTTTTTCAAAACCGTCAATGTTACGTTGTTTTACGGTCTCGTTTATGACGTGTCTGTAATATAATTCCAAGAGTCTCATCGGAATCGTTCGCTCCATCATTCTCATTATCGGTACGACACAAGTTGGAAGTGTGAAAAGTGTCAAGGAGGCCGAAATTATTGCGTTACAATGCAATAATTTTGTTTTGTGCTTGTTGCAAGTTGATGTGCATATCCGCGCCAGCAAAAAAAGTGTTCGTCGCTTCAAGTGTCGTTCAAGTTGATGCGTTTTTTTCGTTTATTCTTATTAAATCTTTATCCGGCCATTTTTTAAATCTCTCGAGCATTTAGCACGGCGTTCGAAACAAATTCGTTAATTTAAAAGTTAATAAAAAAATCGTGCGAACACACTTTTACCAATAATTGTGTACACACGAATATTATGAATAGGTACGTTAACGTGAGCGAGAAAACTTTCATAGAAAAATAAAATATGACGTGAGAGACGAAAAAGAGATGCGTTTTGTAAGTATCGTCTGTGTGTATTCTGTGTATTTTCTATGACGTTAGTGTTTTATTTTATGCATGTGTGTTTGTTTTTTTACATTCAATGAACATGTGTCTTGCAAATTGTGTGGCACGTTGAAGTTTGTTGATTTCGGAAATAAAACAAAATTTTCATTTTGTTTCGTTTCCTTGCCCCGTGACTGATGAACTACATTTCGCAGCAAATGTATCTCGTGTTTTCACGCTTGTCTCTTTATCTGTGTTTATTATTTATTTATTTTGCATATTGGCAATTATTAAACGATTAATTAATTATTGCGCGCACAAGCGGCTTAAAAAGTTGATTCGAATTCTCGCTGCCATCAGCAATCACTTTCTGTTTTACAGGATTATCGGTATTGCTGTGTTTGTGCCCGAATGATGAGATCGAAATCAATCGTCCGTTTTATTATGTCGTCGCAAAACGCGTTGATAATCAAGAACTTGGAAGTCGCCATTTAGTGTCGCTATTTGCCGGAATCGTTGACGATCCTAAATTCGAATGATTCCGAAGTACATGGCAAAATTCGATACCTGAGACATACATGTCGCGTCATATTGGCAATTTAAGATTTTTATATGCTGTGCGAACAAATAAACATCAAAAAACTACAAAATACTTAAAAATTCTACTATAAAACATTGTTATATATATAAAACTACGTATTTTGATGTGTATTATATTATATATACGTACAGATGTGTGTGTGTATATATATATATATATGTGTGGATTTTAAATACATATATGTACGACCTAACATAGTTTTATTCTCTTCTCTTGGATTGTTTTATACATAATGTACAAAATGTGAATGCAAAACAAAATGGATCGAACGAGCATTCGTTACCTGCACACTTTTATTTTGTATGTAAATCTTCAAACAACAATTTTTCTGTACATTAAACTCTCTTCACTCGGTCATATAGATATAACTTGTGATAATAAAAACTCGATATGTAACTTTTGGGCCACATATGTTTTTTCACGTCCTTTTAACGTTTCTGAAGATATTTCTTTCTTTCTTTTTTTCTTTACACTATTTGTTTTTACATCTTTTTTATGGAGAGGTGTATTATCTTTTGTTTGTTTTTCTTTTTTTTTTTGACGACGTCTCTTCTCTTTTTTATTAATTTATTTTTACATCTTATTTTCGCCTTTACATAGATGATATGAAACAAAAACTTACGATGATATATCGCACACGGGATGAATCCTAATATGTTTCAGGATTAGGTTTGAGCCTCAAAAGTATCCAGATAGACGAAGAGTTCGAGATTGATCGTCCATTTGTCTATAATATCATCAAGTCAGGCCAAACAAACAAGACAACTCCTGATAATTTGTCGCTATTTAGCGGATATGTCGTCGGCCCAAATTAACGATAGTAATAACGATTAGCGGAACAGTTTTTTTTTAATTTTCCAATCGATATAGATCGTAGATTATAATATATAACATTTATTTTTTATCTCTCTCTTGACTTTGGGATTAACTTAATATTTATCTAATTAATATATCTCTTTAATAAATCTGTAGATAGGTCGCCACTCTATTCAGGATCGTGTGATCACAGTCTCTCGCGGCTGCAAAAAGTGTGTTAAATATTTCTCTCGTGTGAACGTTTTGTTTTTTTTTTTTTTTTGAAATAGACACTATCATCCTTTGATTATTAAGTTTTCGATTGTTGCGATTAGCTTCTGAAAAAAAAAAAAAAACATTAAATAAACGTTTTATTGTTATGTTGCACTAGAACGAGTGTATTTTTCTCTTCAGTTTATTTATTCGTCTCTTGTAGTCTCTTATATTGTCTTTTATTTATTTGACAATCAAATCCCTCAAACGAAAATCAATATTTGTCTTATGTATCTATCAGTGTCTTACGTTTCTCAAGCGGCGTATAATTCGACAAGTCGAGATCAAAATAGATACGCTAGATAGATATTCTCAGAAAGAATTTCATATTATTGCACAATTTTCAGATATTTATTAACACTAAGACCTCATCATTCGCATAATTTGCTGTATGTGTGCAAAAGACACTAGGAAAGTATTTGTTAAAATATTTGCTTATACGCACCGAGAACAACAAAATGATCGGTTTATTAGCTAGATATTACTGATTCTTTCCCAAAAACTTTGTTTCAGTTGTCATCTTAAAGAGGCGAGGCGGACGAAAACGACCACCTGTCGATGTGTTTTCGATCGATCATCCGTTTGCCTTTAGTATAATTAAATATGTCGCAAACGCCGAGACAAATTCGTTAAATGCAATTTCCGTTTTCGCCGGACAATATGTACACTAATCCGCGAGAAAAAAAATGGCGAGATGAGAAAATATATAGTTGCGTTCGTATTGTTTCCAATGTACACGTTACGCACAAATGATATATGGAAAACAATGATACACGATAAAAATGTTTGACATGAATTTTCACGCAAACGACGCAAATGTGATTGTTTCTTGTCAATTTTGTATATTCAAAATATTTTTTTTTGTTTAATGTAAAAATAATTGCATAGTATCTTAGCTTTACGTTTCGTGTAATAATAGTTTGTTATTTTTAAGCGCATATATATTGACATTTGCGTACCAATGGTGCACGTGACGCGAAGCAGCGCTTTGTAACATATGTGACACGTGTTAAGAAGAATAGAGATTATATATGTGATGTAAATGTGAACTGTGTTTTATCTCAAATTATTATTGTAAAGATTGTGAAAATATATATATATATATATACATAAGTGTATATGAAATTTAAATTATAGTATTCGGGTACAGAATACTATACAGACACATTTCTTCGTTTAAAAGTAAAGCGTAGTTTTACTGTTTTTGGTTGTTTACGTTAAGTGTATGTTTTCAACACACATAGTTTATTAATGTTGTACATAGTCCCGAGTTTTTCATCTTTCTTTCGTTGGATATTATATATGTCCAAGTTTTTTTTATAAATAACACACGCATGAAACACGAAATTTTTTTCAGAAGAAATTTCTACGTTGAGTTTGTATTTAAAACAAAATCACGGTTTTTTATGGTAAGATGAGCACGGAAAAGTATCTATTGGAGCGGAATGTCTCAAAGAATTGAAATAAAAGTGGAATTTTAACAATAGAGCGGATCGATGATTTTGTTTCAGAACTTGAAGTACAAGTGACATCGTTCGTGGAAGGCAAAGAGGATCCGGAATTTAATGTCGATCATCCATTCCTCTACGGCATCATTAAATCGAAACCAAACGAGGATGAATTCTTGCTCTTATTTGTCGGAATAATCACGGAAAATTGAAATGAAAAAGAACGACGACTGATATAAAAATTATCAAAATAAAAATAAAATCAAACAATCGAGGAATTTGAATGAAAAACATTTGTTCGTGATTAAAATGGAACATTATTAAATTTAACTACAACATTTACCACAATTATAATTATATATAATTATATACAAATATGTAATTATATATAAATTTTTGAGATGTAATTCTCTGAGATGCAGTGCTCTCATATCTATATGTATAAATTACTTTTATGTTCTAACAACTAATTGCTTTTCACTTCGACATTTTTTTATGCTTTAACCATGTAATGCATTTAATAAAGAATGATAATAAAAATGTGTCTTTTTGGTAGTACTACTTATACTTATAAATCATCAATATTTACATATGCAAATATCATATAATCAATTTTATGTAATTGCACACAAGATATTTCTTGTAATTTAGAATAATCCGCTTCTCTTTCAATACTGTCTGTTCATTTGTCTATAGTTTTAATTTTCATGTTACACAGTATATTAAAAAAGCATTATATTATTCATATATACATTCGTGTGAAAAAAGCGCAATACCACATAGAATCGAACTAACAGTACAAATACGAATTATTTCAGAGATCGCCAATTATTTTCAATTCGATTATTATTTCATATCGCATGATGATAATTTATCTTTCGACCACGTGTATTACTGCAATAGCGATGTTTTGCATGTGATTTAAAGCTTCTTGTGTTGTGTAACATATAAGAAAAAAAAACAAAATATTTTACAATGCAAATGACTTGCTTTCCAGCTGTGATGATCGCATTTTTTTCTGCACCAGTCGAATTTCTTCCTCCGCCGGAATTTAGAGTGGATCGTCCGTTCATCTATTCTATCGTTAAGTCACATCGCGACAACGAGGCTACAAATAATCACATAATAAGTTTATTTGTTGGACAGATTCTTGAACCAACTGTGTAATAATTGATTGAGCAAAATTTTGCACACTCGCACATATAAATTTTGTATACTGAATAAATAGAAGTGCGGGACACTTTGCAAATTTCTTTCATTTATAAATTAATGTGTTATGTTTTGAAAATAATAAATGATGTAATTTTGGAAAAAAAACAATTGCTTTTCACTTCGACATTTTTTTATCCTTTAACGATGTAATGCATTTGATAAAGAATGATAATTAAAAAAATGCGTCTTTTTGGTAGTACTTATACTTATTATCATCGATATTTACTTATGTGTGCAAATATCATATGATCAATTTTATGTAATTGCACACAAGATATTTCTTGTAATTTAGAACAATCTGCTTCTCTTTCAATACTATCTCTTTATTTGTCTGTAGTTTTAATTTTCTCATGTTACCCAGTATATTAACACTAGATTTACCAGACCAGTCATTTTAACTGGTCGTGCAATTTCAATTCAAAATTTTTACTGCATGTAACATTTGCTTTCCGAAATGATGTTATGACTTTTGTAGCTATAAGTAGAGAATACATTTTATGAACTTAATGTTACTATATATATATTCGTAACAAATATATTTTTTGTATTTTTTAATAGGTATATTTAAATAGCTGGTATATCTAGTGTTAAAAAAGCATTATATTATTCATTTACACATTCGCGTGAAAAAAGCGCAATACCACATAGAATCAAACTAACAGTACAAATATACGAATTATTTCAGAGATCGCCAATTATTTTCAATTCGATTATTATTTCATATTGCATGATGATAATTTATCTTTCGACCACATGTATTACTGCAACAGCTATAGATGTTTTGCTTGTGATCTTAAAGCTTTGTGTGTGTTGTGTAACATATAAGAAAAAAAAAAATATTTTACAATGCAAATGACTTGCTTTCCAGCTGTGGTGATCGCAGTTATGTCTGCAACAATCGAACGTCTTCCTCCGCCGGAATTTAGAGTGGATCGTCCGTTCATCTATTCTATCGTTAAGTCACATCGCGACAACGAGGCTACAAATAATCACATAATAACTTTATTTGTTGGACAAATTTTTGAACCAACTATGTAATAATTGATTGTGCAAAATTTGCACACACGCACATATAATTGTATAAATACTGAATAAATAGAAGTGCGGAACACTTTGCAAATTTCCTTCATTTATAAATTAATTTGTTAAGTTTTGGAAATAACAAATGATGTAATTTTGGAAAAAAACAATTGTTTTTCACTTCGACATTTTTTATGCTTTAACGATGTAATGCAATTTAATAAAGAATGATAATAATAAAAATGCGTCTTTTTGGTAGTACTTATACTTATAAATCATCGATATTTACGTATGTATGCAAATATCATATGATCAATTTTATGTAATTGCACGCAAGATATTTTTTGGAATTTAGAACAATCCGCTTCTCTTCTAATACTGTCTGTTTATTTGTCTGTAGTTTTAATTTTCATGTTGCACAGTATATTAAAAAAGCATTATATCATTCATATATACATTCGTGTGAAAAAAGCGCAATATCACATAGAATCAAACTAACAGCACAATACTGAATTATTTCAGCGATCGCCAATTATTTTCAATTGAATTATTATTTCATATTGCATGATGATAATTTATCTTTCGACCACTTGTATTACTGCAACAGCAATAGATGTTTTGCTTGTGATCTTAAAGCTTTGTGTGTGTTGTGTAACATATAAGAAAAAAAAAAAATATTTTACAATACAAATAACTTTGGCTTTTCAGTTCTTGGGGTGGGATTTGCTGCATCATTCGACTTTCTTCCTCCGCCGGAATTTAGAATGGATCGTCCGTTCATCTATTCTATCGTTAAGTCACATCGCGACAACGGGGCTACAAATAATCACATAATAAGTTTATTTGTTGGACAGATTCTTGAACCAACTGTGTAATAATTGATTGTGCAAAATTTTGCACACACGCACATATAAATTGTATACTGAATAAATAGAAGTGCAGAACACACTTTGCAAATTTCCTTCGTTTATAAATTAATGTGTTATGTTTTGGAAATAACAAATGATGTAATCTCGAAAAAAAACAACTTAGTTGTTACTGAGTTTAAAATACGTTTTTAAATTTAGTAACGTCGCAGACGTTGATTATAAAGAATTAGCGAGTTCGTATAAATCAAATTCTTTATTAGCAACAAGGCACTTGTTGGTTATACAAATAAAATTCAATATAATGTAACCACAATAGCGGAAGCCCATGTTAGAACATTTGTTTTTTTTTTTTTTATATAACAAATATTGCGTGTGGAACAGAACACAACATAATTTGTACATATAAATCTTATTGGTCATTGTATAAAAATACGAGATTGCTTCCGTAAGTATATCATATTTCTTAAGGATATAATTAACAAGTATTTCTCCTTTCTCTCTTGCGCGATACTTAATTAAAATTACTTAATTGAAATAAATTTGCACGTAAGTACGCACATTATAATATACATGTCATATAATGCACATGATAGCACGTAAACAATATATATATACTATATATATATATCGCAAATAAAGCGAAAAAATTAATGGCTTAATTAACTTGATACACCATTTGTAAATCAATTTGCGTGTTTACATGATTCGAATTATTTTTAGTGTAATGTGTGTGTAAATTTACACACAAAATCTGGCTGTATATTCTCCCAAATGTTTGTATATATTTTAACTCAATTTGATCGTCATTATTTTTGTTATCGTATATACAGTTTTTTTTTTCCTAAAACAAAACCAATGTTATTTTTTTTTTTTTTAATACAAATTTTACGGATTTGACAGTTGCCAACGCATAATTGTGCAATTGTTTGCAAGATCTACACAAAACAGAGAAACTATCTTGTTTCTGTCGTAAACGTTAGATCGTATCAACTAACTTCAAGTTTCATCCGCTGAAGGATGAGCTACTCTCTAGAACGACCGTTTGAGATATTTGCTGATATAATAACAATTAAACGAGGACACAAATTTATTGTGTCGTGAAGTAACAAAAATAAGAAACCGCTTATAATTGAGCACTTATCTATCAGGAAGACGCAATCGCGCAAGAGTTAAAAAAAAAAAACCTACGTATGAGATAATCGTCAATCTCTGCAATTAACTTATTCTGCAGTGATTAACCGACGATTTTCCGACTTTTGACGACTGAGCGGTTTCCGACGTGCCGTTCGACGTCAGTGAGCCTTTGCGCGCCACGCAGGTCTGCATAGTTGCGGTAGTGTCGAGATATTCGTCATCGTTTTCCGAATCCGTGTTCTCCTTTTCTTTTATCGATTTCTTCGATACCAAGTCGTTCACGTAACGCTCAATTAAATTGCGATTCTGCACGTTTATGGGACCGTTACCGGCGTTCAAGAAAGGCAGTAATATCTCAGGTATCTCGACGGCGCTCTCCACGACGGCCTGTCGTTCAAGATGCATTCGTTGTAATTCGGCCAGCGCCTCGTCCATAAAACGAACATTATTCTTGCGATCGGTTGTTTTCGGAACGTCTTCGAGAAATTCGACAGATTTCGGCCAATTTCTGCCTGTTGTTGTTTGTCTCGGTAAGGTCGCGGATGATTTGAGCTCGTTCGATGATAACATAGCAGTGGTAAAACCCATCGGGAACTTGGACTGACCGCGCAGATCATTCTCCAACGGTTGATCCGACGACGGAGGCGCGTTTATCTTCGGGGCGCTAAAAGTCACATTGTATTCGACTTCATCTTGATTTGCCGAAGCTGCGCGACGAGTCAATCGGTTGTGCTGTTGATTTTCCAAAAATGTGGGATTCCGCCATCTCTCGCTGTTCATTACAACTTGGGCCAGTTGTTGAATAGTACGCTTCGGCACTTTGTTGTCGACTTCGTCGCTGCCAGGTAGTTTGGCCGGAGTCGACGAATCGCACGGTTCGCCCAGAGCACGTCGAGCCGTCGCGTTCAGCTGACACATACGCTCGTAACTCTCGCCCTGTCCGGCTAGAATATTATCCTTCGGCCCGTACTTCAGAATTTTCTTTCGCGACTCCCAAGTGCCGTGATAAGGCGAATCCTGATCGTAAGAGCGGGACTCGCCGTCCAGAAACGCTGCGGTGAGTATCATCATGGGAGTCGGTTCCCGTTGCGTGAACAGTTTTCTTCGCGCCGTCAACGCCTGACCGATATTCACTTCAAGCCGCGCGTTCTCTATTCTCTCCTCGAGCTCCCGCTCCATCTCCAACAACTTGGCCGTCTCGCAGATCAAGACTCGCGCGTCCACGTATTGTTTGTCAACTTCCCGAGCTATGCGTCTCTCCGCCGAGGACTGAGTGCGCGCGTCGTTATTGAAGACAGGTTGAAAGCCAAGACGTTGCTGGGCCTTTACAAAAGGCGACGTGGACACGGGACCCAGTTTCGACCATATTGTGCCGAGTTTTTTGCTTGCCGGACTGGCGACGATCGGCGACACGACGCCTGGTCTGGTCTGAGTGGGATTCTGATTGATCAACTCGACGTTCGAGTTCGGTATTGTACATGGCACGCGACAAGGCTTCGGCGGGACCAAGTCCAACTTGGGCGGAATCATTCCGGGTTTCGGTGGTGGAAGTAAAGAAGTGATTGCGGTTTCTGGTAAAGGCGGTGAGGATGATGACGGTGACGAGTTTTCGTTCTTGTTTAACACCGTGGCGTGTACAACGTTCAGCAAGTGATCCAATCGATTCTCGAGCCTGTTCTGACGATCTCTGTCTACGTCGAGAAATCGCGTCACCATGTCGTTCTGCGCAGCTAAGATCTGAAAAACAAATATATAAATCTGCAGATAGATTGTTTAAATAAATTACACTATAGAAACTTACACTTAAGAAACTTTGAGAAGAGAATGAAAAGAAAAAAGTAATAAAAACTTCCAAAAACCAATTATTGAACGTACTTTGTTGACAACTTCGTTTTGAGAATTGATGGCGCTGAGCACGAGCTGTTCTATTTTTTGCGCCTTCTTTTTTCTAAATGGCGCGTTCGGTACGTTGTCCGTATTCACGGCGCTGTCCCGCGACTTCGCACCGTTCTCGGATTCCGGAGGCGAATCCAGCAAAAATTCCAACAACATACTGTCGTCGTTGCAAGTTGCATTGTTCGTAACGACGGTCGCGTCGGCCGCGTTGGTCGTCAGTAAGAGATTATCGAAATCAACATGATGATTGTACGTCTCGTTTAATTTGTGCGCTTTCGATTCGTCGTTTTTCGACTGGCAAAAAGCGTCGTTCAAATTCTGCGACACATCCGGCGAATAATCCGGCGATCCGTTTTGTTTAGCCATGTTCACCAGTTCGGACAAGCGAGCAATATTATCCTGATACTGTTTGTACGCCAAATTCTGTCCGTAAGCGACTTTGCGCAAAGGTTCTTGCGGCACAGCCCGATTCTCCGCGTACGGCGCGCTTTGCTGCAGCTGATTCTGCTGGCGAATGATGTTTTCCACATTGAGACCCGGCATCGCGTTGCTTCGCATCGCTTCGTTGAGCAAGCGTTGCTGATTCAGATTGTGCACATTTCGTTGAAGAGCGAATTGTTGTTGATCGTTCGCCAGCACGTTCTGCTGCGGCAATTGATTCCACGCGAGATTTCGCTGAATGTTCTGATACTGCTGCATGTTCTCCTGAATAATTTGATTCTGCACATTTTGCACCGCGTTCTGATAAGGAATCTCGCCGTACGTATAAGGCCCAAGTAGATTTTGTCGATAACCGTCCGGTATCGGATCCTCCCTCGCGGATCCAATCGGATTCGTCTGCACCGCTCGATTGCCGATCTGAACGAAACGCTCGCCGGTGTTTATAGCAACGTCTCTCGTGGGAGAGAGAACCCTGTAGGACTTCGGTACTATGGTCTCATTCGATTCGGGCGAATCCGGATATTCGTTTTCACCTACGGGGGGGGGGAAAGGAAAAGATAAACATTGTGAAGTTTAAAAGTGACAGTTCAAAAACCCCAAGATGATTCTCTCTGTGTCAAAGACCAGAGAGAGAGTGACTTACATCCTCCCGGAATCCATGTGGGTGACAGAGCTTCCGTTCGATACAGAGATTGCACAGGTTCTTGATCTTTGATTCTCATCTGCAGATTCTTGTTGGTTTTCACATCCTTCGGCGGTGACTTCACGTAATTCGCAGTCGAATCTAAATATGACAAATTATATATACGCGAGATATCAAACGGGATTTCTTTTGAACACCGCGATCAGATCGTTTGGGGGGGATTGGGGTCTCGTCAATCAATTCTCGTACTCACCTACGGTGTCTATACCGACGTTGACGTCGACCTGGTCCATACGTTTGTTTCTCAACACACGGTCGATGGTCTCGTAGTATTGCTCGACACCGGCGCGAGTGCCCGCTCGTTTGGCCTCGCGATAACAAACCAGAACTTGCTTCATGCGCGAACGACACTGTTTGCCCGCTACGTTGTAACCCTTCTTCTTCATGTATCGCGCGATATTCTCCCAGATCACCTGAGGCCGCGGAGCGAATTCCAGTTGCTTCTGCACCTGCCGGTCCGACCACACCGAGACCAGCAACGCGGTGCTCTCGGGCGTCCACTTGTACTTGCTGCTGTCCGATGTGTCCGACATAGTCGCGTCTACGTTCACGTGCTCGCGGATGGTCGTACGAGATCGCCGGATTACACGAGGATCAACACAGCGTAGTTCTTTTCTCTTTTTCTTCTTTCTCTCTTTCTCTTCTTCTTCTAATTACATCATTTTTCAGACTGATCAGACTCACTTCCTTCAAACCGATTGGTTTTTCGTCAACAACTCCGTTCACGGATCGCTTGTTGCAGTACCCCAAATAAATTTAGGCGAAATTACGACGGACACACATTATCGTACCGCTGCTGTAGTACCGCGCGATAAGGCGCTGGCTGGTGCTCGTTAACCGACACTGATTCAAATTTTAAAGGGACTGTGACCAGTACGCGGGGGTCGACTGGTGGGAGGAGATGCGCCGCGGCAGGTTCGGAGCCACTTCGGATCCGACGACGTGGTGTTCGTTTCTGTGAAAATATTTTGCGTTAGAATCAAAAGAAATGAAACGAATGCTTTTAGATTCTTCTGAGATCGATGATGGTGATCTGTTAAGCAAGACACGAGCTTTGAAATTCTCGCGTTCTAGAGAGAGCGGTTTGTTTTCTTATCGAAGGCTTGGGTTCATTCGCGGTCACTCGCATTGGCTCGGGGTGACGGCGAGAGTAAGCACGGCGCGTTTTAACGCGGGATGCCGATGACGCTTGTGAAAGTGAGCGAGAGTGAGCGAGCGAGATCCCACGGCGAACGGAAGCGAGAGCAAAGTGCGTCTTGTTGAGAAGAGCGCGCGCGCGCATTTGTGGTTTTGGCGCACGATTGAGCGCGCGACATGATGAAACGCGACACGTTCAGACTTGCCGCAACAGGTGGTTGCACACGACAGGTGGCATTATGCATTTTCCAAACTTGAGTTCCGAACGAGATCATCTGAGAGAAAACAGCTTTGTTTCATTTTGGCGTCGCGTTGTTTTTACGTACTTTGCTCTTTCTGCATTAACTCGCACAATTATTAATTATATTATTATTATTATTCTAAGAATTGAGATTGTACAATTAATATACATATATATATATATATATATTTGTATATCT